TATAATTTGCTTTACTCAGGGGTGACCTGTATATGCAGCAGATGGTAATGCTTTGGGATTGCAGCTGGAAGGACATTAAAGAAGCCTCACATGAGTGACAGGGAATCTTTTTCACAGTAACTTGCGCTAAATTAGTTCTATAAATAAATGCTATTCCTCCTCCTCTACGCCCGACACGAGGGAAAGACTTAATTAAATAACCAACTGGACATATTGCTGATAAAATAGCATCGTCACCGTACTCCTGCTACCATGATTCTGTTATACATAAAATATCAAGGTTCATTTCAATAATTAAATAATTTAACTCGTCGCTTCATTACGGCATGACCTTGGTGTTAATGCAAGCTATACTGACATTTTGTATTACTTCTTGCAAAAAGTTTCGACAGTTGATTTTGACCAAATTGTTTATGTTAATTATGTTTTTTGGTCTGCTGCTGATGCACGAATTTTCTAAATCATAAACACTAAACACTACAGGGATTGTCCTTTGTTTTCGTCGTCCACCTCTTTTCTCTCTTCTCGGTTTTTTTTCCACTTCACCGGTATAACACACGAACAAGAGCTGGGAGAAACACATGTATTCACACATTTGTTCCCGAACACAGAGTTGGAAAAGACTCGGAGAACAGTTTTCACGAGACACTCAGGACAAAAAACGTTCGAGGGTTGACGGAGTGTAGACCCCAGAAGAAGAAAAAATGTCCAATAGAAAAATACCAAGTCAATCTTGGCGAATTGAAAACTGATAATTTCATTGAAAATACTGACTGTTTTTGTACAAATCCTACATCATCACATACACTGTCAAATGACAAATACACTGATATAAAAATCCACTATATGAATAACTTAAAAATGCACTAGAAACTGTTATAATCGAGAGAGATTATGGAGCAGCCTGTGAGGCGCTCAACACAACCAAGACCAAGACATAGGTTAATAACACCTGGGCCCCCCAAAAAGTTCATAAATCTACAGTGGAAACCTGATAAAACAGGGATGGTGGGACCAGAGAAAAAGTCCTGTTATATCAGATTCCTGTTAAATCATAAATGTCAGGGAAGTCAGCATTTGTGGACTAATTCAGCTGTATTTATTCAAGGGTAGTTTCCCTTATCACAAGTACCCACGACAAGCACACCACAGCCCTCTCTCATGGCCACGTTGTAGGCTTGCGTATGACACATTACGCGTGCGTGTAGCTAGGCTTAGGGTTAGCTCGAAGTGTGCAGCACACCGCAGCCCCCTCTCGCTTCGCCCGCTGCATGTTCTTGCCTTGCAGTGGCGTGTCTTGCGTGGACTAGCCCCACCACTGCATCTCTC